CCTCTCCAACCAATTATTTAGGCTGCTACAAAAGAGCTTAGACTTGAAAGTAAGAGCTCTGAAATTAAAGCAGGTCTTGGAGAGGAGACAAACATATCACAGCAACTGTCTGATTATTCGATACTGTCAAAAGTCATACAAAGTAAAAAGAGGAACTTAATCGCATTTCACTGAGGTATTTTGCACAAGTGTATGCATGCTCACAGACACAAATGCTTAACGGGCATATGAGTTTTCAGAAATGGTGAGAACGTGAGTCTGTCTCGGCATGTATACTTTTGCTTCATGACATTGATGTGAGCCAACACACCAGTCAGTGGGTGTGTAGGCAAGGAGACAAGCACACACACACACAAAAAAAGTTGAGAGAATAATTAATGGGGAACCCATAAAAAGATGAGATTGTTTGTATCGTGTGTACACAGTGCATGCACACAAACAAGTGTATAGTATCCATTTTGAAGTGTGCAGATACGTTCAACCAAGAGTAAAAAGATAAAAGAGAGGTAACCAGGGCAACCGAAATTCATATATATATATCATGTAAAAATACTTACTAGCATCAATACCATCCAAACAATATTGGAAGTGGACAAGTAATTGAGAGCTTATTTCACAACTCATCAGCACCACAGCTAACAGTGGAAAATTCCTTTCTAAGACCCCTTCTGTTTAAAAAATCGATTTCAACTGCAGCAATAATTATAAGTACAGACCCTAAACCATAACATTCCACACCATTTCAGCTCCAGAAGTATTTAGGGTCTATTATACCACATGTGGGGCCCACATATGCACAAAAAAAATTTCAAAATATCCCAGCAACCAAAGCTACAGCAAAGGAATTTTTCTTATTAAATTTAAGAGACTTTAATTTACGACACCCGCAAAAATCACATAAATGTCCCCCTTCTGGAGTTAAAAAAAATACAACTGAGTTTCTTCCCGTACATTTATCATATTCCCACACATTATAAATTAAATAACAGTTTATGGTTTTTTAAAAAGGGAGTGGTAAGAAAAACATTCAATATTCTTTAACTAAAAAATACTATATACACAATGAACCATAATGAGATAATTAGTGGTTAGAATTCCGAATTTCATAGACCGAATCAGTTTTCTTGTCAATAAAGACATTTTTAAAGCATATAGACAAATCAAAAATGAAAAATATAACTATCCAGTCAGTAGACTGTTATAGATAGTTGAAAGCTCATAAACAAGGCTTAACCCCCTAAAACAGGTAACATCAATCATGTTCAGAAACAAGGTTGTGAAACGATTAAGACAAGAGTAATAGCTTTTTATGAGAATAATATTTGTCATGGAACATCAACAACTTTTTCTCTTAAAAAAAAAAAAGACATGGCTTGTGAATATTTTTTCTATTCCCTAAGGCTGGTTTAATTATAAGACCTAAAAAAATCAGTTGCCACCTGAAACTTTGTCTCTGAGTCCCTATAAAAAAGTGAAAACAAAAAATATTATTTACAATGAGACAATATTAGATTATAAAATATGTCATCATCATAGAAAGATAGTGAAAAGTTCAATATTTGAACATGAACTACACTCACAAAACAATGCCGATATGGACAAAAATCAAGGGAAGAGAAGGATTTTATAGTTTTTGCTTTCTTTTGTCTCTCCTACCTGGATGTAGAAATTTGGAGGAAGACAGGATGATCATAATCAAAATCCATTTAATGATTGTACGCAACAGCAAAAGTTGGGTCTAGAGGACGAATGGGAAAGTGGACAGGTGAATAATAGACCAAGTTCAAAGGCAATTTAAGGCTGCTGGGTAGACCATCCCAATCATCCCCACCTCAGTTATCTAGGCTATCGATCTGATCTAGACTGTGGACAAGACCATGCCATATATTGTCCGCCATAGTAGTATTAGTAGAATCATAGTCATTCGATCAGCTGGCTCTAGACCTCTAGGGCGAGGGCAGGGTGCTCTACATGATTGTAGCAGAGCCAGTCAGGTGAACAGTACAAAAGGGCAATTGTTTACTTTCTCGCGTTTAATTCCGGCCGGACCCAGATCTAGATCTCTACTCTAGATGTAGACGAAAATCTATCATGCATAACCAACTGGATATTCAAAACTTTGCGCTGGAGTTAAGAATACGTAATGTACTAAACCACGGCAATTTCATCATTTGTGTAGTGTATCTTAGGCCCTCTGTACTGATTTTGATGGCCATTGAGTAATATTCTCAACAGAAGCGTATTCTCAAAGAGTTCAGAGTAGTCGCTCGTTACGGAAATCCTCCCCCAGAATTAAACGCGAGAAAGTAAACAATTACCCAGTAAATGAATGAAGAATGAAGAAGGATAAAAAAAGACACCTAGCCCTAGCCTAGGGGGAGGGTGAGGGAGTGCCACTGAGCTACTAGATCTAGATCTAGATGCAGAAGATTCTCCTTTAAAACTAGGATTAGATCTCTAGATCTAGAGATATTACAGAAAGCAGAGGTAGCCTATCGAGGTCAGACATGATGCATGATGATGATGGCCTCCTCCAAGACGAAGACGAGGTTAGATTAGAAGACTCCATAGCTTCGACTTTGCTTCGATCATTCTCTCGAGGCAGAGGAGGCGATTTTGTAGTTTCGTTCGTTAAGTCAAGAGTAGGGGGGTTTCAGGGGGGCACCCCCTGAATTTTATCCTAATTTGATGTTTTACAGTTAGGTTCACCTTGCATCCCTACTCTTTGTGTAGCCTATTTCAAATAGTATTTTGTCATCAAGACTTCTGGGCACTACTTGGATATGGTGGTCCCGACTTTTGTGACAGGGAAATTCTAGAATCTAGTTTTGACCCCAATGACGATTACTTCTGGTTCTAAGTCTACTAAACGATTACTTTTCGATTTGCGTGCCGATATGGAGAGATAGCCTTTCAAACCTTATTGCAAAACATCAAATCGTGGTCAAATTCATGGGGGAATGCCCCCCTGAAACACCCCTTGTTTTGTTTTTTAAAGTCAGGGGGGCAACCCCCCGGGCCTTGTGAAAAACAAGTGAAATTTTACAGCCCATTTTGCAGGCTGGATTTAGATCTAGATCTAGGCTACTGATAAAACATACAACATTGATACCGACTATTTAAATCAGTATCGATATTTCAGTAGATCTAGGCCTACACAAGTCGGGACCACCATATCCAAGTAGTGCCGACTTCTGGATGTAGGTTTGTAGGCTAAGCTAAACAAATGGATCTTGGACTTTAACGAACGGAACTAATCTAGATCTAGATCTAGATTTAGATCCAGAAATCTAGATCTAGAGATCTAGAATCTAGATCTATACAAGAAGTCAAGATCACCGCAGAGGAATCTAGACGGTAGAATAGAGTCTACATTCTAGAACCTAGATTTCTAGAATATTTAGACTAGATCTCTAGAATCTAGATCTAGATATCTAGATCTAGATCTAGATCTAGATATTTAGATCTAGATATTAGATCTAGATCTAGATCTAGATCTAGTCTAGATCTAGTCTAGATCTATATCTAGATCTAGACTAGATTATCTAATATCTAGATCTAGATCTAGATCTAATGAATCTAGATAGAGGCCTAGCCTAGATGCTTTACAACGCTGCACCATCTGTAGTATAATCAAAGCATCCAGTTAACTCGAGGGAGGCAAAATAGTAAACAACAAGCACTTGTTGCCCACTAAGAAAAAGATAGTGAACAGGAACTGGTCTGATAAGAGGGAAGTGGGGGGTGCCTCGCATGCAACAGAACACTCAAGAACAGTGAAAAAATGGTCAAGAAAAGAGGGGATTTGCTCCCCTGGCTTCCAGGCAAGAAACCAAAATAAAAGCGTGTACTGTTAATACTTTGAGAAGAGCAAAGGTATTACAATGAAAATAAAAAAGGCACTCACCTGTGAGAACAAGAGATCCCTTCTTGGTCAACATGTTGGAATAAAGCAATGTAAACAAGTTTTCTCGATGCAAATAGGAAGTACTCAGAAATATGGCGACAATCTCGGCCAAACCTTCGTTGACCCGCGAGACTGCTCTTGCTCGTCGAAGAGATCCGTCCTTTTATCTTTTCGCACAGGTTGAAATTTCTTTCGTTTTCAATCTTTGTCATTTTCCCCTTTGTGCACGTACATGTACTGTGAAAGCTGTTCGGGAATAACCCCTGATAACCATACTATCCACACAAAAAACAAACCCGTGGTTCCAGGGTCAATAATTGGCAAAAAAAAACAAACGAAATTGCATAGAATCTAGCCTAGATCTAGATTTTTCTAGATCTAGATCTAGATCTAGATCTCTACATACAACAACATTTTTGTTGGTAACAGCTAGCGCAGAGTTGACCCAAGGCCTTATATCATTGGATCAACTTAGCTCGGTTACCTACAAAGATTTTGCGTTTTTCAAATTTTAAAAATCTACTTCGTAATCCGGCATAAAGGCTTTTATGGGAACTTTATTACTTGGATTACAGCAACCCAAACGTAACATTGCAAGATAATGCATCTTTAAAAAAATAAAAGATTCTATTCCTATTATGAGTTTTACAGTTCTTCTTCCTTTGGGTCTGGTGAATAGTTTGATAGCATATTGATGTTTACACAATGCTTCAAACATGGATCTTAGATCTAGATGATTAATGTACCGACCTATTTTATACAATGTACGAACACCACAGTGGAAAAACAAAAACAAAAAAACCCAATAAATAGGCCTATCAAAAACCCATTGATGCGGGAAAGGGGGCGGAGGGCCTGATTTACAGCATGCTTTAAATGACATTCAGTTTAATTAGTACGAAAAAAAAAAGCTTATTCTTTATTTTTCAGTTTAGAGTTTGAATCTAGTTTTATTGTTTTCGGCCGTAAATCTTGTTTACAGAAATGAACGGCCAAGGCCTAGGCCTAGTTTTTAGGTGCCTACAACTCTACGCATGCGCAAACTTCTTTGGATCGCCATTTTGTTTACAACGACTTCGAGGTTTGTGACTCGTTTTCATCCTCCAAAGTCTCATTGTGACCCCTTTTGCTATTCACCGAACATCTACTTTCGTTTTCATCCAGAGTTGACAAGTTCTGAACATTTGAAGACCAAAAGCATCATAAAATCATATGCGTTATATTATTTTCACTATGAACATTTGGCAGAGGAACCGGTCAGTGGGGCATGAAATGGGTCATTCCATTCTACTCCATTGACTCATTATGTCCTGTGCTGTTTTTCTCTTTGCCGACTTCGCCTAGGCCCCCTAGCAGAAGCAGTTCGCAGCCTATCATCTTATCCCTCTCCCAACCGTCCTCTTTTTCATCCTCTTTTGCTTGTGCTCAAGATGAAGAAGAGATTGATTGATTTCAGATGTTACGACTTGTCATTTCACTTCGAATACAAATCGGGGTGGGTGGGGGTTACCTAGTCCTAGCAGCAGCTAGTCGTGCCCCTAGGCCTACCCCTTTCTTTTCTTTTCTTTTTTTAATTCAACTTAGAAATCTAGATTCTAGATATCTAGATCTAGATCTAGTTACCTGATCTCATACTCGTCTCCTGTTTGTAAACAAGTTTGGGTGCTTAGGCTTAATTTTCAATGATTTGAAAGCATTTGCCATTGATGTCTCGCCTTCTGATAGTCTAGAGTAGTAGTAGTAGTCTAGAGTTTGACTTGAGGCAGTCTAAAATTTGAGATTTGATCAAGCCCATTTTGGTCCATCTTTTCTTTAGACTTAAACTTAAAACTAAAAATAAATAAGACTGCATTTGTAGAATAGATCTCTTGTCTTTCCGGATGGACAAATTTTCTTACATTTTAAAAAATCTGATGAATGTTTGTCATTATAACTCTAGATCTACTTGTTCTTAGAATCTCTTCTTTTAATAGTCTTCAATCTAGCCTATTCAAGCCTATTGCATGCAAAGCAAGCATTCACTTTCATTACATTTCCTGTGTACTTAAATAATTAATGATTAGTGCACATAGTATAGCAATATCATATCCATGCTCTCTCTTAACAACCATTATTACCCCAGTAGACCCTGGAACGCACTTCATTTTCAGCTTTCTGGGAAGCACTCTATACACACTGCAAGCTGTAGCTTTCATGCGGTCAAACACTTTTCTAAGTCGTAAAAGTGAGCTAGGAAAATTTGTGTAAGGTGCCTTTCCCATGGACACCACATGTGACCCCTGACGAGATTTGCATCAGAAAGTGTTTTTAAATTCTGTGCCATGTTTCTATCTTGCATGCCCCACTGCAAATTTTCCCCACACACTGGTGACTTTTAATTTAAATTTTATATTGAAGAGTAAGCCAATAACACATGATCCTATATTTATGAACGTAATATACCTTTTATATTTTATCCGAAGACTGCATCTCACTACTTGGACACAAAACATAAAAATCTCCACCTGACCTGGTGTACAACATGTAAAGATTAGAGTCCAGGCAGGGATCAGAATCATTTTTACACTTTTGAAAAGTTTTTCTCACAACACCAATAGGCCTACTTGGAATTTGTACCCAATTTGCAATTTCTACTTCTGCATTATAATAATCATATATATATATATATATATGTATCTCTCTTGCCTTTTTGTAAACTGCATCAGTGCACGGTTATAAATTACTTTTCAGTTTAGGTCTGTGCCAACCAATACTTTCCTAAACCAAATTTGTTGCTTTTTTAAAAACAGTGTCAGGGACATAAGGCAAGGTTACAGTGGGGACGATGACAAAGGATGGGGACCCGGGTCGAGAAGTGGCCAACCTAACAGCCTCAGCAGATGGGACAGTCCTCATGGGGATTCCCCTCATCCCAGGACTTGACGTTGTGGCGTCTGGCGATGGCTCGCACATGGAGTGCAGCATCAAGACGGAAGAGGACGATGACCTCGGCATCGGCAGAGGGGCAGAAGATGAGGAGACTGACGTCAGCCAAATGCTGTCTGTCGTCAGTTCTGGAGGAAGTATGTCATGCACCTTGAACTAGGTTGTGTAGATTGATCTGTTATAGTGATATGATATCAAATATATTGCTGTTACATTATCGCTATTTTAATGTGTATTCTCCTTTACTTTCAAACATCTGCAAGTAATGTCACAATCATTATATTCCTCAATTGAAAAATATGTTTCTACTGCATTATTTCAAATATATTGCTGCTGCAATATTATCAAATATCATTTGTTTCATTGTTTTTTATATTCTGATCAATTGAGAAGAGAGGTAAAACATTTCTTTAAAAATCTCTCTTTTCCAGACTTGATCCGAGCTAACCATGCGACGTTGCAGTCTCTGTTATCAACCCCAATATCGGGCACCCAGGTGTTTGCTCAGCAAGATGGTATACAGGTCATCACTTTGCCGACGGCGACAGACGTCGTGGGCCTCGGTGGGGAGAACAGCAGTCGACTCGTTCAGGTGTTTCCAAGTAATGAAGACCTGACCAGCCTTGGTGTTGGAGCTAAATACATCGGACTCATAGCGATTCCAAACACAGGCCTTGTCGCTCAGACTAAAACAGATATGGGTGGTACGTTCTGTGATGCAGAGATGTCGCGTGTTCCTTTGTCGTTTTTCGAAAAGATTTGTGGTGAAAAGCAGAAACAATTGTGATGGATTTTGTACCTTGATCGAAGCAGAAATTGTTTGTATTATCAGTGGGTTAAAAGTTTTGTGTGTTCCTTTGATGGAAGACAGTGAACATTCAGCTGTGAATCTAAAATGCCAGAAATGGACTTGAAAATGAAATTATGTAACAATAGAGGATACATTATAGGGTTTCTTCAATTTTCTCAAGAACTGTGAAAAGTGCATGTCATTGCTCATCAGATGATTGGTCTGTTTTTTCTATTAAGTAAACATGCTTGAAACTTTGATTTTATAGCTCTAACTTATAAAGCAATGTCTTTCATTGTTATTCTGCTGATGAATTAAAAATTGTACAAGCACTTTGTCAGTAATTTAAGACAATTTGGACAGATTTTCTACTCCAGTTTTCAATGAGTAGTTGTAATTTCATTGACTTATATTTTCCTTGCCCATGCCTTTTTTTTTTACCCAGGCCTCTCCGGTTTAGAAATGGTTCAAGGCACTGAAACTGCTGAGCTGAATGCGGCTGCTGCGGCAGAGAGTATGGCGGCCATCTTGATGCCTCCGCCAGCCACTGTGCCAGAGCTACCCCCAGGATGTCCCCAGTGGGCAACCCGACTGAAGAAATGTGAGGTGAGGGAGACTGCCAGGAACTGACCACTAATTCTTTTGTGTTCACTCTGCCCCTTGAATGCCTGATATGGCGGACCACTAATGCTTAACCACACCGATGTTTTTCCTAGCAAGTAATTATTGCATGATGTTTACTTTGGTTATATAAGTATTTTAAAAAGTTATTGTTTTATTTTGTACAGTTATCTCCCTTCCTTTGAGATTAGAGGAACTGTGCTGGCTCTAAACTCGAGGGCCAGATGGTTTTTCAGTTTCATACTCATGTGCTCAAGGGGCAAAGGGTTAATGCCTTTCACTGGGTCATTGTTGTTATTGTATCTGAGCAGCCCATGATTGTTCTCTTCAGCCCAAATCTGTATTTTCAGGGATTTGCGGGAGTAGTGATAGATTCCTAAATTGTAAATGCTTTACACCCTCATGGCCATGATGTAGATCTTTTCGAAGGCTGCATAGGTCATGGCATTTTTTTGTATTTGAAGCAACGTTAATTTTTTATGCACAAGTAGAGCTGGGAACAAGTTGAATGTATTGATGAATTCCAAGTCAAAGTAGGCCTATGTAACTGTTTTGTTTAAATTGACAATGTTTTCGCAAAATCCTCAGAAAATCGGGGACTCGTACCGTGGATACGTGGAAAATGAAATTGACCTGGACTTGATATTAACCCTTCACAAACAGCAGACCAACAGCTTCTGGGGCACTCGGCAGTCGCCCAGCCCGGCGAAAGCGTCCATCAGACTCATGTGGAAGTCACAATATGTTCCCTTCGATGGCATTCCCTTTATCAATGCTGGTAAGGACAGGACATGGGTTGTAGTATCAGAGTTATTGTAGCAAGAGGAAATTCACATATATACACAGATTTCAAAATAAGGTCATGCTTCTTGTGCCTTTAGTACTACATTTGTCATTTTTTGTGCCTTTAGTGTCATATTTCTTCCTATGTTGTGTCACAATTTGATGCTGTCATAAAAGAGAAATAAGCTCTATAGTAGTATAGTAAGATGTTCTAAGTATTTATGAAATGTCGTTTGTAAACTTTTGTGGTTGTCACATATGACATTTGTATCGTGGAAAACTGATGTGTATTTTGTTTTCATGTCCTTCAGGAAGTCGAGCAGTGGTGATGGAGTGCCAGTACGGTCCTCGGAGGAAAGGGACGTTTGGGAAAAGAGGCGGCACCACCAATAGCAATGCTGTAGAGTTCAAACAGACGTGTCCAGCCAGGTCGGTTTTCTCATGTTGTGGTAAATGTTACAGTTCTTTTGTGTCTGTGTGTGTGTGTGTTTGTTCTTGTGTGTTTACGTGTATTGTATATTATGTGTATCGTGATGCTTCTCAGGGTGTGGGGAATCAATTTTATTGTTATCGTGTCTGTTTAGATAGTAATAAGCAATAAACTGTAGAGTGTGGATATGTGGTATATAAATGCAATTATTGTGATGATTATTTATCCTAAGTCTCCTTTCAAGAAGAGATTATGGGTTATGTAAATTCCTGTTTTCTATTGCTGTTATTTGTATTATTGTTATTGCTAATATTATTGTTATTGATTTTATTATTGTTATATATATCATTATTTTCCTCTCTTTACTGTGTCAGGATATACATCAAAAAGGTGCGCAAGTTTCCAGCATATGCGGTCGATCTCACGATGGATAAAAAGAGCATCCGTTTAGCAATGGACAAAGCTTTCCTTGAACTTCGAGAACAAGGTCTTGACAGCTGGGGAGAGGAAAGGTCAGTGGTGAACAAAGAGCTAGTGACTCTGGTGTTTAGGTTTGTTTACCTGTACAACACCTGCTTCTCAAATGTCGAGAAACTGCAGGATTTCCAATGTCCACTTTTTCCTCCCATCCCTTACCACAGACAATACCCTTTGTATATACTGCAGCAGAGACCAAATGTGGAAGACTGCCACATTTTTTAACATGGCACTGAGTCAAAAGGCACATGCTCAAAGTCTAATAGATTAACAACAATAACATTTGTTTGCATGATGAATATTGCTGCTGTCGCAAGAAAATATTTATTTGTCCCTGCTTCACTGGGTGAGCAATTACAGTAACTCTTTCTTCGTATATTTTAATATATATTGACAGGTAGATTCATACATATAAAGCTGATGTGCTTTGACTGATGGGTGCTATGGAAATTTATTTGACAAGAATACATTATTTTTAATGTGGGCCATGGGCAAATTTATATATTTATATGAAAACTGATTGTGATCAGTTAAAAAGAAAAATAGGCCATAGAATGTACTTTCACATAATTTATTTTGATCACTCAGAACTGATAAAGAAGTCAATCGGACTCTTTTGGAAGTTACAACATGTTCCCTTTGATAGATAGCATTCCCTTTTGCAATATTGGTATGAACATCTTTCTCTTTTCAGGTATTACGTACAGTTGCCCACGGATAAAGCTCACGATTATCACGAGGAATCGCCCAATGCCTTGAAGCAGGAGACAGTGGTCAGTCCCCCGGTGATAGATGAGCAGACGCCTCCGGTCGTGGAAGGTCTAACAGATACACGCATCCACCCTGCCGTGCTGGAGAAGATTCGGCAGATGGTTGCGGCGGGGGAGACAAAGCTCTACACCATACGCAAGCAGTTGAGGTGAGTTAGTAGTTCTCCTGGACAGAAATAGAGAGTGTGATTTACTGTGATGGCGGCTTGAATGATGATGGTGTTTTGTATTCATAAAATTTAAATGCTCCTGGATGTTAGTTACTGGACCATTATTGATATTATGTTGATTTGTTACTGTCATTGTCTGTTGCGTATTGTGATGTGGGTGATTGGAGAAAGCTTATGGTGTGTATGCATTGTAAAAACCTGTTTTAATGTTCAGAAAATTATCGCATCTTAGCGGTGTCTTTCCAGAACAGGTTGGTTGGTGGGTGCTCTGGTGTGGTTTGCTCCTTCTTTTTTATCAAACGTCTATCATCCTTGTCTCTCCTGCTTTTTTGTGTTTGATACTCTCTTGCAACCCTAATTTTCAGCACTTGTATGGCCTTATTGTGTTGCAAGTGCCTTAAAACTAAAACTCTTACTAAAATTAAACTTACAAAACTGACCCCACTTGTGTCCATGTGGTCCCACAGGAAGTTTGTGGTGTGTGAGCTGTTCCAGTGCTCGGGCCAGGTCCCTGAGCGTCACGACCTGACCATGTTCCCCACCGTCAACGACCTCAAGAACCACATCCACCAGGCCCTCAAGGACATCGAGACCGGGGTCCTGCCCGTCTCCGCGCCCGTGGTCAGTCTCAGTTGCTTGTTTTTTTGTTTTCTTGTCTTGTGGGTTTGACGTCTCAGGCACTTATATAATGACCTATGACCTATTTGTGTTGCAGGTGTCGTTAAACTCTTACTAAAATGAAAGATGATTTTTTTTCTCAAAATTGCTTGCTGGAATTCTAGCTCTTGTGTCTATCTGTAAAATGTTTGTCCCCTCTGTGCCAGTTACTTTAGGCTGATCGTAGAGCCTCTATTCATTTGCTTACGGCATCGTTTAAAATAATCATATTCTCCATGTAGTCATAAGTTGTCCAAGATGGCCACCCATGGTCGAGAGGAAAAGTGGCTGTCGTAGACAGGTGGATGTCTTGAACAATGTCATTATAATACAGAAAAAACACAAATGGGGTAGTGCAAAAGTAGTCACTGACTGTAGTGTCTTTAGGCCATTCCCAAAGAGGGGACATTTCTCATTCAAGCATAGTAGAATTGTAAGTGGACTGACTCATGTCACGCTCATAAGTGTGCCTGATCTACAACAGGGAACTGCTGCTTTTTCTTTCCTGATCCTTACTATTGTCATTTTCCTCTACTTCTTTTGTATGTTTGTCTCTCTCTTGTGACCTGCTATATCCGGGGTGCCTTGATAGTCAAAGCACTTTGTGCTGTTGAAGCCAGAGAGATGAGCAGTCTGATTTCTTGTAAAGACTTCTCTGTTGACACCCACCCCTTGGCGCTCATATGACCTTATGCAGTTGCGAGCGTAAAACCCTCTACTATTAAAAAAAAAAGTAGTCATTAGTACAGGTGATTGGACAGGTGGCTGTTAGAGCAGGTTTGGCTGTTATTTCCTTTCTTCTTCTTTTTTTTCCCTATTTTGACGAATTCCTTGCAATGTTGCAAAAGGCTTTTTTTTTTTACCTGAGGCTTTTTCTTCTTTTTTCGGTCTTTTTTTATTTTTAATTTGAGGTTTGTCCTGACACAGAAGATGAAAGCAGCCCTTCTCCCAAATGATGTGAATTGTGTTTATTGGGGCATCAACATTTGCAAATTTTTTTGGGGGAATGAATTCATGATAAATTTTTATTTTTTAATCAGGTGAATCTGGAGGTAATGGCGGGCCAGGAATCCTCCGAGGCCAACGATCAAGAGACCAACGACATCAAGACGGAACTTTCCTCCATGTGGTCGGGGGCCAACGTTCCATCCAGCACGCCGATGCCGGAGAGCGTCACGGTGACCTTGACACAGAACCCAGGGGAAGGTGAGTTGGGGGAACAGCAGTGGCATTGATGTGTGGAGACCAAATGGGTGTTTAGTGGATGCTCTGGTCATCTGTTCTCTTTCTACTCCTTTTTAGTGGCACTGTTGTCTTTATGTAGACTGCTCAGCTACCGACTCTTTCTGCAGCCTTTCTACTGCTATTTCTTGGCTCCTTCTTACTGCTGTTTTTCAGCCGCAGCCCTGATCTTATGGTATGAAAAATCAACATCTAGCCTTCTCGGACAAGGGCGATGTGTGTAAGTTGCACACGTTAAAGATCCCTTGGTGGACCAAAATTGATCAGAGTAGGCTTCAACCGCAAATGTTTGGTGTATCCCACGCGCTCATATGACCTTATAATGCAGTTGTGAGCGCCGTAAAAAGACTGCTCAGTGTAAGACTCCCGTCATACGTCACTTTTCAAAATGGCGAATAGTGGCTTCTTACACTAAACAGTGGTCCCTGTTTTTTATGAAATGTGGTCGCTATCCCAGCAGTTTTCTGAAAATGTTCTTTAATCAGCTCAACTTGTTACCCTCTTTTATCATCCAGGTGACCCCACTCTATCTCAGAGGGTGGTTGGAGGGTAACACTTCTTAGTTCTGTAACTGTTTGTTTTTTTTCTACTCCTCTGTTGTTTCTGTCTGTCTGTTTTACTTTTTCCCTTCACTAAATGTCTCACTTTTGTGTCACTGTGCTTCTGTTTATCCAAACAAACAAAGCAACCACTCTTTTCCAGTCCACCCCCCCCCCCCACCCCCCCTCTTTCTGTTCTAATAAGCCGAGTTTGTTGTTTCCCCTGGTCACAGACGGCCACCACATGGTTTCTCGTATCGAGACTCATCTGAGCGACGGCACAACGCAGGTCAGCACAACCTTGACCCCTGAGACGGCCCAGTTGTTGTCACGCCTACACCCAGGTCTCTTCCCCGCTGGCAGTCTACTCCAGGTGAGTTACATGGTGGTACAGGTTGGGTGGTTGGAGGTCATCACTGGTAGGTCATACATCTCGACAACTACCATCGCACTGTTGTATTTGTTCGAGTGCTTTGCTTTTCTCAATATTGAGCAGCTCTTTTGTGGCAGAAATATACTGTCTTACGAAACTGTTTGCACTTCTTTACTGTTATTGGCTGTTGATCTGCTTTGAATAAATTTTTTTTTTTTCATGGGTTTTTTTTTTTTCTGTGGGTGGTTAGAAGGCACCCCTGATAGGTCCTACCTCGTTTCCTTCTCACTGTTGTTTCTATCTCCTTGTCTTATACTTTCCCTGTGCTGAAAAGTACCATTATAGTGTCAATGTGCGTCTCTTTACTAAAACAAACAAAAGTATGATAGCTGTCTAGACTGTTGTGTGGATATGCTTCTCTTTACTCCACTCAATCAAACTCAAACTGAATTTCCTTTCTTTTCCACCCAACAATCGTACGGTGCTGCGTCTGGCACAGTTGGATGGTTCCCAGTCCCAGCCTGTGGTCCCCGAGAGTTTGGCCGACCCTGTGAGCGGTCTAGAGCCCCCAGACGCGTCATCTGCTGACAACCCCGTGTCTGGTCTGGACGCCTCCATGGCGGAGAGCGTGCATGTGATAGGGGGCCTCGACTCTGCCCACCTGACGGGCATGGAAGACATGGACACGGCCCACAACATCTCCGACATGATGGACTCTGACGCTGCCGCGGGGATCTCAGGCATGGTCAGCTCGGACCCGACACACTCTATCGGAGGAATTCATCTCGACGTGCACCACCCTTCATCTCACAATATTTCCGGTATCATCGATGGGGACTCTCCCAATTTCGCCGGGATTGTCACGTCGGAATCGCACCACCACCACCACCCTCACCATCACCACCATCATCACCACCACCACATCCCCGGCTTGAGCATCGCAGGGTCGGGTCTGTCTGTCCTCAACGGGGTTGACCCGGCCACGATTTCTGAGATGGTTTCCTCGGGCGCCGCCCATCTGAGCATCGTTCCGGGCCACCCTGACACGATCGCCCTGGTGGCGGGCGCGGGGTCGGAGGCCGCTCACACTATCGGGCTGGTCACCACGGGCCGGAGCGACGGCGGTCATTTGACCCTGGGGGACGAGGCGTGCGACGAGTCTATCATGGCCAAAGGTCAGGACCTGGGGGAGGTGGGCGGGGCCGATGAGAAGCTGTCGGAGGATAAGATTACTCTGCACATCACTTCAGGTGAGTCCTCGTGGTGGATGTGGGTCTGGGTCAGGAAAGTAAAGGAGGTGAACTAGGTCAGATATAATTTATTGTAATTTTAAGTACTTTAATAGTTTTACACCCCCATCAAAACTATATCGATCATTTAGGAGATGAGGTACTGCCTGTAGAAGTGTGAAATGGGTGTAGAAAGTAAATGGGAAGATATATATAGTGTGTGGTTGGAGAATATTTTTCTGATATGATGTGCTCCAGCCTCCTTGGGATCAGAGAACAATTTTTTAATGGTCCTGTTACATCAAGGAAAATAACAATTTATCTTACAGCTGTAGAAAACTCATCAAACTGTCCTCCTCTTTAGAAAACTCACCAAAATTTGTTTCCTTTGTACTCTGTAAACTTTCCTCCTCTGTAGAAAACTCACCAAACTTTCCTCACTTTTACAAAACTCATCAAACTCTCCTCCTCTGGTTTTTCCGCAGATCAAGAAATGGGCATGGCCAGACTGGAGAACAAAGTCTCAGATTTGTGATATATTCCTCCCTGGCGCTCCGTCTTTCTCTCTTTCCCCGGAAAACGCACACGAGAATGATCCCCAAGTCCCAGCGTGACAGAATGCACATGATCCACGCATTGCACTCGAGAATGATGTATGATTATGAAGTTCAAAAGTGATAGGACTTGCATCATCACATCAGGCAGGATCGTGCTCGTGAGAATGAATGACTTTTTACGTTCCGTGTGATGGGGGACTTGCATTATCGTATGATCAGAATCTCAGCCGTTCTCACCTGCCACACTCTTTGTTTCAACTTTCACAGCCTGTGTGCTCCTGCTGCTTCACTTCTGGATGTTATCTTCAGATTTCTGGAGGCCTCAAAAGTTCTGATTTTTTTTCCTGCTAGGCAGTTTATGTTCAGAATAAATGTGGGTCACGTTTTCTTTCGATGCAATACATTAACTCCTTGAAATCGAAGTGTTATAAGTACCAAAGTTCTGTAGTTCTGTTGAGTAGTCAGTTCAGAATTCTTGTGCTTACATGTCCCTTCCGCTCCTTACAAGGTGTTTGTAGGTAAAAGTGTTTGGGTTTTTTTTCATATTTTGTAATTGGTGAAATGTCATGTAATTTGAGGTTTGCAGGCAAAGTACTTTCTGTTTTGTAAACATGAAACTTGGTGTAATTTGAGGTTTGCATGCAAAGTTCTTTTATGTTTGATAAACAGCAAGACTTTATTTAGTGAAAGGTTGACAGGCAGGCCATGAGGACAGCTACAGAGCGCCACTGGCTGATGTCCTTGCCATGACATGCACGCTGTGGGTTTTTGTTGGTTCTCATGCTAGGGAAAAGGATGACGTACATCCGCTTCTGTTTCAGACTACTATGTAATTCTCAGATGGATATGATGGTTGTGAGGTAGTCAAAAGTGGCGTGATGGGACCTGAAGTGGGAACAAAACAAGACCTGCGACTTTCTTTTTTTTTACTACAGCATGGAATGGAAAACTGCTCAGAACAAAATGTTATGTTATGGAAAATATTATATAATGTCCACCAAGTTGTCATTCATGTGCTCAATTGGGGAGATGGGAGGTGGTGGTGCTACTGGGTACCAATGTGAGTCTGCCGGTACTGAAGCTTTTGTGAGGTGGTGAGGGAAATGTCTTTCTCATTGCTACACTTTCTTGATTGTATCAATTCTTCTACATTGAACTTTATTGAGAGAAACTAGTTGGGGGGTTTTTTCTCGGAAAAAAAGCTTACTTGAATTGTTATAATTGTAGATGTCAGTCAGGAAGGTTTGAAACTCAAAATTGTGATTTATGTTTAAATCCGGACCCGCTCCATTCTATCTTATGAAAATGATTTGAGACTGCCTTTATGTAATTTATACTTTGAAGATTTCACAAATACAAGTTGAATAAAACGGGTTTTTTTATAGATTCCGTATCTCAAAATTGAATAACTCCCTCATCAGTGCAAACCATCTTTACTTCCCGTCCTCGGCACCATTGAAGTGGCACTGGCACTTTACCTCAGAAATTTTGCCGGCAATTTCTGACAGGTGTTTCTTGCAGATATTTTTTTCTCGATGAGTGTACTCGAAAAGTTTGAAGTCGTAATATTTTATATTCACCGTCTTCTATGTCACAGTCACGGCAAGCTAATAACATATATAAGTGTTCACAGCGGTACCGAAGCTATCAGTTGTTTTTATCTATTGAAACTTCACGTTCTACTAACGCTTCTGTTGTACTTCTTGTAATAGATTTATTGGTGTAGCTAGTAGCTAGTGTAGCTTAGTGCTGTAGGAAACCAGCCCATGAAGACTTTCCATTTTTAAAACCTTTTTGTTACCAGTATACTGTTTTCAAATACTGTTTTCAAATATTCTTTGAAATTTGTTGGGGTTTTAAAAAATTTTAATTAATTAGACGTTACGACAACGTTTGCTTTGGGACTACATTTGAAACTGTACCCCATTGATAACTATTCCCTCTCTATGGTGTACATTGGTCTCAGTAGTTGTACTTAAATAGATTATATCCTCCTTATGTATTCTTGTATATATTTTTGTGCCAAGTATGGCATCCCTGAATTCCATTCGTTACGTTTTCACAAGTCATCGACTCTCCTTGCAAGTGGTGGTACTCGTACTCCACATAGAGCAGAATGTTTCACTACACGCTCTCACTCTCTTTATCACAGGCACATGCCCGCGCGCGCGCGCGCACACACACACACACACAATCACTTTTTCTCTCTCTCTCTCTCTCTCTCTCTCTCTCTCTCTCTCTCTCTCTCTCTCTCTCTCTCTCTCTCTCTCTCTCTCTCTCTCTCTCTCTCTCACTCACTCACTCACACACACACACACACACACACAGACTCTCATGTACACGCACACACACAAACTCTCACACGCACACTCAAACATCCACACTCAGACATGTATGCTGTCCCCGGGTCCCAGATGAGTGGAATATATTAACCCGGAGGAAAACGGTGGGGGAATTTGATGCTCAATAATATTATTATTATTATGACTTGTACTAGTTAGCTCCGTTTGACAAAATATTTATATATCTCTTCCATCGCGTCATCTTGTTCATGTTTTTACTTAATATATAATTATTCTACTGCTCTGTGGTATTGATTGTAAAGTATGTAAGATAAAACTATTTCTAGTCACTTCTTGTAAAGAGCAAAGACCCATATAATATACAAACATATGTGCATATAAGTTTTTTGTTTGCTTTTTGTTGTTTTTTAAAGATTCCTTTTCGTTTGCAGTTGTTGTATTATTTTTGTGTGAATTTCCAGTTGTCCAAGTAGCTTCTGTGGAGAGCTTGCAACGACTTGACCTGTTTTCTCATTTTCTTTGTTACTTTGACCTTCACCCCTCTGTGTGAATTTAGTTTTCATTTTCCTTCAACTAGTCAGTCTGGACTTTTTGAAACCTATTTTGGAGAAGTTTTATCTTGAGTTGTGCTTGAACTGCTCTCACTATCATCTTGCACGTTTTTGCAGATGGTAGAATAGGGCTACTGTGTGGTCTTACATCTTTACTTTCCCCCCTTTTCTTTCTGTCTTTCTGTCTTGCTTTTTTTTTTTCAGCTCTAAGTAACTGTTATTTTGTCAATGTGCTTCTCTTTACCCAAAGTCAAAGTAGATTACTTGTCGTGTGTGTTTTTTTGGTTTTGAAAATTTAGTTTTTAAAAAAAAGTGTATTCTACTAAGCGATGTGTAACTTACGATTCTTTTTGTTTAAACAGTTGGCTTGTATTTGATACAGTACTGCTGGCACTGGACTTAAGTACTTCTTGCTTTATTTGTGCTGTAACAAGAATGTGAACTTTTTCTTGTGCGCATGCTTTGTGTAACTGAAGACCAAAGAGGGTTGGTGGGATTAGGATTGTGCTGATGATATGCTTTAGTATTTACCTTACTCATTAAAAAATGTAATAATTAATAATGTTGTCCGGTCAGTGAACGTACTCGCAGACTTCTCTAATGATCAGCTCGTTCAAGGGATGGGTGTTTGTTTTTAACAAATGTTGTATAGGGGCGGATGGTTGGAGGGCGTCACTTGTAGGTCTTATTTCTTTGTTTCCCCTTTTATTGTTTCTGTTTGTCTGTACCTTGCTTGTTCCCAGTGCTAAATAGCCATCATTGTCTCAATGTGCTTCTTTTTGCTCAGACAAACATGTATTGAGGTCACAAAATCTTGGCCTACCATCAATCTCACACTACTGCTGGTAGCATGCAACACCTGTTGGCTTTTGTCTTTTTATTTGAAGTAAAATTTGCAAAAAGACAAAAGAAAATTGTGACTCTCAAAGAGTGTAATTTATTGCTTTATACTTTATCATATTATGTATCACGTTTATGTACAGTGAGACAGGAAGACACTGCTGGCCATCTGCTATATATGTATACACACACTGGAAGTCACACATCTGTCCCTATTTATTTTGTAGACTCGCTATATACAGTTTTTATTTTGTGTATTTGAATGACTCTTTTCCCCTATATCATATAAAACATTTTAATGTTCTATAGAAAAATCATGTAGTGATCAGATCTTTGTTCCCAGCTAGCAAATCTTTGTCCTTGTTTTCTCAACCCATTGGATTATCCAATAGAATTTGTCCGTTGTTAGAGGGTAGCGGTAGTTTGTCTTATTTCTCTGCTTTCCCCTCCGTAGTTTTTATCTTTCTGTTTTGCTTTTTTTCCCCCCCAGGATTCTATAGTATCCACATGTTTGTTGAAAATTGTCTTTTGTTTTTAGGTTGTCTCAGCAGCTGACTTTCCTGTTAAGACTTGTTGTTTCCTATTGTCTTGCATGAATTAATTGTTATATTAATGTTCACTCTGTATTGTATATGGACTTAAGTCTAACCCCAGATAATTCAGTAGGTTCTTTTATATGAAAATAATTGTTCTTCCTGTTTACTACTCTCACAAAAACAGAAGCCAGGACAATTGTTCAGCTCTACGTGGGTTTATTTTTTTCCTGTACCCCATTCTTTTCTAGTTACTGGAGAAGATTGGGAGCTGGGCAGTTCTTGTCATTGTTGTTTCTTTGATTTTCTCACAGCTGTTGCTGTGACTAATGGGGCAAGATTTTTGCTCTTTTGTGTTGTGAGGGCTTGAGAGCCGAGTCTTGTGTTGTTGTGATTCATGATGCAGGCTTGCTGACTTTTGAATAACTCAATCAGGGACACCCAATGTTATCCGTTATAACATCAGAATATGGAATAACGAACAAAATTACATCAAGTGGGACTGGTTTTGGTGAAGTGTACATGATGGGATAAAGCTCTCAAATTCCTGATTGCTGAATCTGGGGACAGTCGTGGGAAATTCATGATGGTTGTTGGCAAGCCCGATGTAGCAAGGCTGTTTGGCTCTTTTCTCTGTTGTGATCGATTGAGAACAAGGTGTAGCTATTTGGCCTCGGCCTCCGTTAATCATAATGGGCTGTAAGCGTGTTCAGTGGGAGCCAAAGATGCTTAGTTTTGCTAATTTCTCTTCGTTTTGCTAATTTCTCTTCGATACTTAGTTCCTGTGAGTCGACTTCGAGGGTTGGTAGTAAAGTTGGATTGTTTTTGTTGCAAGCATTGGAGATTTTCTGAACTGTTTCGACATGCATGTCCAGCTTTTCTGTATTTGGTGTCAACTCGTCACGCCGTGTCCTGTTTGGTGGGAATCTGTTCTCGCACTTTGGCTGGATTGAAGGGGCAGTCTTTAGTAGTTAGTAGTTGTTGTCCTTGAGGTACAACTGGACAAAATGGCGAAAGAAAACTTGGGCTGTCAAAGACATAGAGTGTAATTGTGTTCTTCTCATCCTTTGTTTCCATCAACATTGTAGGCCTACTTGTACAAATTTGCTGTTGGGTTGCCCCGGACTGCATCACTACGTAAGTCTGTATGTGTTCAGGGCTGTTGTATTGAGAAAAGTGAAGAGCAGTGGGAGACAGGGGAGGAATTTCATCAACCTTTTCTTTTATATATTATATATATAAGAAAGTATTGGTCTCTTAAAAGGGACGTATATATTAATTTAGGATGGTCACAAGGATTTCATGAACTGATTTTTTATTTTTTTGTAATTTTAAAATATTTTTTGTTGTTGTAAATCTATTATTAGATACATGTGTTTGCCCTAACTTTTTACTCCATTGTGGCAGAAAAAATTGTAAATGTGGCAGCAAGCCTTGGATCATGAGAAAAGTGAACCAAATTGTTTTGAAAAAAATTCTCTTGCTCAGTGCTTTTTTTACGTCTCATTGAACTTTGATATTCAACAGCTGAGGGTATACATACTATGAAGTCTTGACAGTTATATTGGGCATGTGAGCTTTTATTTCACCTGTACCCTACCTTTGCTCTTTCTTTCTTTCTTCTTTTGTTTCTCTCCTTTTTTTCTTTTTTTTTTGTTGTCAGTGCGTTTAATTTATATTTTGTTGCCGTTGGCTTCTGGCGCCGCTGCAAAGTGGAGATAAAATTCTGCAGCTGGAACGCTATGTGAAATGCTCTTGTGATATTTTCAGTATTTTGTGCATTATCAACTGCTCTTACTGGTGTACGACACAAAACGCGTGTGTATACGACAGAGTGCACGTGTATACGACACAGAGAGTGCACGTGGGGTTGGGGTGGGCGGGCGGGCGGGCGGCATTTGGTGCTCGGGGAGATCTTACTACGTGGAAGTGGTACCAAACTTGCACATACCACCATCTCTTGCCTTTGCTTAATTTATTAAAATATTTGATGGAAATGTACAGTCTTGTTCGGTTTTGGATTTGTTGCAATTTACATTCATTAATATTGTTTTATTTTTTTGAGTGTGTGTCCGTCCACTTTTGAAATAGCTAAACTTTTTTTTATTCAGCTGAAAGAAAATTTGCTGCTATATTATTATTGTACTTTATGTTTTGTTATTTGCCAAAGACAGTCTTAATTCTCTACCAGAAACGCCACAGCATTGACGGACAAGTTAATATTCGTAGAACCGATTTAAAGCTTTTAAAAAGATTTTGAGTTTCTGCGTACAAGGACCAGACTAATGAACACCGCATATTTTGGATAATAGTATACAGCCCTTGGCACCCTAAGAAGCAACCAAATTCGATTCCGGTGAGGGGAGTATTTTTATCAAGTATTTCGGTCTTTCTGCTGACAGACACAGTCAAAGCGAATCTCCTCAAAACACGTCACAACGTCTACACATTTTAAAATATATGAAAAAAAAAGACAGAAATGGAGACAAACATTCTTTTCAAAAGAACAAGAGAGAAGACAATTTTATAATCAATAAATCTTTTTTTATTTTATGCATATCAACAACCGCAAATAAACATTCCCTTTGGATGATGACAACATATGTACAATAGTTTTCTAAAATATTTCTTTTTACATGAAAGCCGCAACATGGCAACTGGTAGGTAGCATCAACTGAACCGACAGATCAACAGTTTGGTCACATCTTGTGGCGGAGCTTTGGTCAGCGAGGAACTGGACAATCAAAGCAAAGTCACCAAACAAAGCATGAAATCGACTCAAAATAAGCTTCACAACCACAACACACCAGTCCCTCTAACAAGGTTGTTTTTTTATATTTAAAAAAGGACACAACAACTAGACATGCAGTTAAGAGTTACACAGAACGATCTCATGCAAACACAGTAAACTGGTCAAGACGGCATCATCATAAAGGGAGGATTTTTTTTAAAAGATCATGATCAAAAGAATGACCAAATCCTATTTCCTGAGCAGTGTTTTATGCAACTTCCAAGTTTGGTCACTTTTTTCTGGTCTCTTTCATAGCACATTTCGAAGATGAGAAAAAGAAATGATGATGCTCACAGACACTGGTTCTCAAGTCATACCATGGACCTAACAACCGAACAGACTCACCACACACCCATACGAGAGCCAGTCACAAATTAAGTAAAAATAAAACAAAACCCTGATCCTAGCAAATAAATATGGAGCAGAAACACAAAATGAAGTCGGAGGAACTAAAAAAAAATTCAGATGGAATGTGAAATAATAAATTAGTTTTTGAGAAAATAAACTCGATAAATCAGCCAGGACATCACAGATTGCAAAGCTACACCAATCTCCACACAGTACAGAGGCTGCCACAATCACAAGAGCACAAATAATGAATATGCGCAGCGTTACATACAAATAAAAACATAAGCAAAAAAAACAAAATTAAATATCAAAAGAACCCACCAAAAAATGTTGAAGGGGCAATCTTTACAAATATTCACTAAATTTGTTTTTACAAAATAAAAACAAAAAGCTATCGGGACAAGATCAGCTCACAGAATTCTACCCTGGCCTGCTGATCATATAATCTCGATAATCAACTCAATATTTAACTCGAAGTGAACTCAACATACCAGTATCACTATCACTGACACACGTAAGAACACGATATATTATGAGGTGCCACCACAAACCAGAACTAAGTCGATAAATACCCTTCAGGTAAAACAATGAATTGATACAATTCCCTTCACAGACAAAAATGTGCAGATCAAAAGATTCCAACATGACATCAATAGAAGAATATCACGACAATCCACCACAAAGTGACACAGAGACGTAACTGCGAGCCGTGCAGCCTGTCTCGCCAACTATTTACCTTTTAGAACCTACCAATCATTCACTCGCATCTTCTCATACCTCAAGCAAAAAACCCAAATATCTTTACAATACAACAGTTAAAAAATTATGCGCAAAAATCATTTGATTTTCAGCAGCTCCATGCTCCAAAAGGAAATTCATGGATACATCAACTTTATATAGCCTACAATGACAATCAGAAAACAGGCAGATTTAATATAGAAATGAACAGTTTACCAGTCGCCCACACCACAAGCGCAAAACTAAAAGACACATCATTCCAAATCATTTCATGAGTTAACAGCATTCAATATTAATGCTGTCGTACAAATATCCGTACACATACATGAAATTGGTCAGTTCAAACATCAAGTTTCCCTCTCCCCTCTACCTTATGACATTCACTTTTGGCTTTCATAAATAAGCAAGTGCTTCCACTATATCTATCTCATTAACACACGTAATACAACAAAGAGACATAAGTTGTTGTCAATTCGCCAAATCATTAAAGACAACAACATTCAGAAGTTATAATATAAGTTAAATTCACTTTCACTCAACTTTCATCATGGTCGTGAACACTGTGCCCTTCAGCACCCAATACTCCTTCCTAACCAATCTACATCTATCTACTTATCCCTTTTACTCTCTATCCATCTACCTCTCTCTCCATGTCTCCTAGTGTCTCTCTCCACTTCTCCCTCTCAGACTCACTTTCTCCATTTTTCTCTCTATCTTCACTTCTCTCTCACTCTCCGCATATCTCTCTTAACTTCTCTCTCTCTCTCTCTCTCTCTCTCTCTCTCTCTCACCCGCAAACAGACAATCACAACATCAGCTCTCAGGCTGTGAGATATGTACATGGCGTAGGCAGGAACCACACACAGCTGCTAGAACTCTAGTCATTTTACTAGAGCAACAACAGATCTGTCCGATTTCCTTCGCCTTTAGGGTTTTTTTTTAATTTCTTCAAACAGTAGACCTAACTGCCAAGAGGAAAACCTCTGTCATTCAAACAGTTGCAAAAAAAGTTCCCTCTTTGTGGTTGTAAGACACCTCCCATATCAGTCACTCTCTAAAGAGAGACGGTGTAGAGAAAGGATTGTAAAAAACGTGAGTGTCTGGTTAAAAAAATTCTTTGAGGTCATGGTGTAACAGTTCCCTGATGGGACACTTTCACCTCGAGATTCACTGCTACCCGCAGTCTCCTCAGCACTAAGAGTGACAAAAGAGGAGGCAACCGGGGAACAGAAGTCTCTGCTGCTGTTCTCCATAGGAGGCATTTTTTAAAATCTATAAAAACATGATGAAGCCGTCACTTTGGTTACATCACAGCGAAAGTGGCACATCCGAAACAAAGTTAGCAATAGCAGTGGTACAACAATGGAAGTGAAGGACCCTGGACAGGAGCGCTTTGTCTCCTTGCCTCTTTGATGAAGCGTTCATTCGTTAACTCACCGCTATTTTGTCACACCCTACTTCACAGCCAATGGTTATTTTACTCGAATATTGGATGACAAAATATGTAACACGTGTCAGTTTGCGCAGTGATCCCTGAAGGCAGTGATTAAGTCAAATGGCACTCTACTTCCCTCCCCTCCCCTCCCGACATGACGCTCCCCCTCCCCCCATCTCACGGGGGTCACAAGAACCCGCCAAAGCAGGCGAACAGCATCAGGTGGATGAAGGCAAAGTAGATCCATATCAAGGTGCGCAGTCCCGGCCGCATCCTCATCATTCTGTTGAGCTGTCGGCTGGAAATGAAGAAATATTCCCTGTAAGAGCGAGATGGGGTAGCATAGGTAGAGTGAGTACAGCATGCAACAACATAGACCAGTCAGCAGCAACAACAACAACCGGGCCGCAGACCCGCAAATATCAGAGAGACTACTTCACTGCTGATGTAACTCTTTAAAACTATATGATATGTGAAACACTCCCACCCACTGAGGCATACTGATCATTAAAGCAAAATAAATTTATTCCATGGTAAGCAATTGAAATAGTACTCTTTGTTCACTTCTTCCCCCACAGTTGTGGAACTTTTTAAAGCTTATATAATTGAGGGAAACATTTATATTTGAAATGAGCCTCAGTTTCATTCAATTGCTGGGGTAGAACAAGAAGGATTACTGGTTCTCCCAAAACTACATCTAATGTTCAATACACTAGCCTTGCAAAAAATGCAGAAAATCCCCAGGAATTAAATGAATTATTACAAGAAAAGAAAGTTACATGTTACACATCTGAGTAATCTCTCTTCCATTTCAAAGTCTCCTTGCACAAGGAAAAAACAGTTATTTCACCAGGAAGTTTACACTACAGTAGACCCACAGCAGAGTCAGAAATACATGGGGATGACAGGAGATGATGTACCAGAGGTGCCAACAGGATAGGTAAAAAAATCCTGAACTGTTCTGACCCCGTGGAAACATGTGCGCTGGGACTAAAAATTTCAGATATGGTCTAATATAAGTAATACATATAATACCAAGACTGTCTTCATACAAAAGGAACAATATGTGAACAATTTCAGAAATCTGAACATCCCACATTCATCAGAAAAAATTGGCACCTCTGATCATATCCACAATAAAAGACAAGTGCAAACCTAAGGTTATGTTAGGAGACAGAAGAAAGAAAAGAGATGAAGATTAAAGTCTAGCCAGTTGGAGATCACAGTGTACTGAAGAAAATATTCCTGGCCAATGTTAGCTCACAAAATTCAGATGATATTAAAAGTAAAAGTACTGAGGCATGAAAGAACATATATATATGGAAACACGTAGACCAATATATAGATATGATGATATTAATATAATGGGAAGTAAAAAGTTATATTTTTGAGACCCAACAGTACAGTCCTCTACCCTCCATGTTACATCTACATGTTCTTAAAACTACCAGAACCAATTTAGTTAATCTGTCCCCGTCGTTTTATGCAAGACAAATTCTGAAATTATGCAAACTGAGCCCAAGAATGTGAAATTATGCGATTCTGTTAATTTTAACAAAGAACAATAAAGGAAAATAATCGGAAATCATGAAAAAAATTATGAAATTTTGCTTAATTATGTGGAGTTCATAAAACCACGGGGACAGGTTAATGATGAACACTGTAAAAATCAGAAAAGAGAAAGTCAGAGATAAACATCCACACATACATACGATGATTAACATCTCCAACATGAACACTCTGAGCAGTTTCAGTATTTACAAATAAACGCAAATTTGGGGACAGTATTTATGAATAAACACAAACTTTGGGGACAGTATATACGAATAAACACAAACTTTGGGGACAGTATTTATGAATAAACACAAACAGTGACAACATCAAACCTGAATAAATCAGACCAACAAACAGGGAAGCACAGAGGGATATTTGGGGACAGTATTTATGAATAAACACAAACTTTGGGGACAGTATTTACTCCAATAAACACAAACAGTGACAACATCAACCTTGAATAAATCAGACCAACAAACAGGGGAGCACAGAGGGATAGCTTAGTTCCTTGTCATCCTGGACCTCCTCGCCCACAACCCTGGTTCCAACCCCCACAGGGACTTTCTTCACCTTAGTTTATCTCAGCAGGTAGCACAGTTCTCCACCCTTATATCTCAGCCTCATGAGAGATGGAACATGAAACCAAAGGGAATCACTCAATAGATTCCCTGTGTTGAAAGGAGCATAAAACTCACATCCTATCACATCTGTTTTTTGTATTGGTAAGAGTTTTACTACTTTTACAGCACTTGCAACACAATTAGACCATGACAAGTGCCCAAGAAAAAAGTTGTTACAAGAGAGTAACGAACCTCCAAACAAGGAGGACGGATATAAAGACGATAGATATTTCATAGGAAAAAGGAAGCAAACCACACCAGAGCACCCACCAACCACCTATTTACAATTTTTTTTCGTGTCTCACGATTCCGGATAGCAACACCATAACAAAAGCTCATTTTATGTCTATGGAGTAAAAAGTACCCAAATAGACATAAACGGATTGCTTGGGAGACCAACGATTATATCCTGTCACACCCACCTAACTAGGACACCAATCACAAAACAAAGAAACACCCCCCCCCCCTCCCCCAAAGAAAAAAAACCCCCAAAAACAAGACAAGTGAGACAAACAAACAAAAGACGAGAACTGAACTCACTTTTTCACCCTGATCCAGCTCTGTAGTCTGCTGCAGTAGCCCAGGCCGTGGCGAGCTGTGAGAGAGACAAACAGAAACATGACAGCGCACGGTGAGGAAATAGTGTGTGTGTGTGTGTAAGTCTGTGTGGGTGGGGTAGGTGGTGTGTGTGTGTGTGTGTGTGTCTGTGTGGGTGGGGTAGGTGGTGTGTGTGTGTGTGGGGGGGGGGGGGGGCTTTTCTGCAGGCTGAGAGAAGTAAACAAGGAGGGGTGTGAGGTGGGTGATGTCTTGAAGAATAGAAACCAACATTGTCAAACAAAGAGGGTTGTGTTGTGTGCAGTTGACAAAATTTAGAAACCAACATTAAAGCTGCTTATTTCTTCATCTTACCAAAAATAAAATTACCTCATTGTCATAGTATTATGCACAACACAGTACTCCACAGCCATAACTATCATACTTTTCCCTTTACTTTACTTTTATCCGCCGCTTATACCCTTTTGGATGACGCGGGAGGAAAGAGACGTCTCTCTGCCACCAGCCGGAGAGCTTGGGTCAGGGGGATGCCGTGGGTGGTTAGTGTTTCCCTGACTCCATCTATCCAGGTCTTTCTCGGTCGCCTTCTAGGCTTGTTGCCACTGAATTTTTTTATGTAGGCACGTTGTGCTGAACGGTGTGTTGGTAATCGTATGAGATGTCCGAACCATTTGATCTTTTGGTGTTGGATGTTATGCATGATATCAATTGAGCCCACCATTTCTCTGACTAGTGAGTTTCTAATTTTGTCTCGCCTGGTCTTGTTTACTGCTTTTCTAAGACACGCTTGTTACTGACTATTATCACCATTATTGTTATGATCATTATTATCATTCCTGTCTTCACTACTGTCAGTACACGTAGCCACACAAGTACCATATCGCATGAAACACACGACAAGAGTGGCATCTGAGCTTTAGTTATTTAGTTATTAGGCGATCCACGGCTGCACACAGAAGACGAAAGTTCGTTTCCCAAAAATATAATTTTTAAATTGAGCACCCTCATCAGTATGCTGGGATGTCGTCGTATATTTCCCCCCTCAGCCTCAGCCCAGGTTGGCCCTAACAGGCACGGTTGAAGCAGCCCACCTCCAAAATGGTCTAAATTGTATCGATGGGGGCATAAAACATTACAATAAACTAAAAAAAGCACTCACTCAGCATGGTCGTGGTCTCCCGGATTCGAGAATCATCGTCCTCCAACTGGATGTGAACCTGGTGGAAACACAACAAAAAAACCCCAACTCAATAACATTTTGTTTTTGAGGCAAAATTAGAAACAAACAACAAAATTTAGATCCATTAAGTAAATCTTTAGACATCCAAGAGTGTATGAAGCAAAACATTAGAAGCAACCACAACAGAACAACATATCAGGAAGGAAAGCTTATACATATGAAAGATTTTTAACGATTTTTTAGTGCAACCCAAATGTACTGAGTTATCTCGATATGTATCTCCAAACATTTTTTTTCAGAAAGAAAAACATTCAACGAATATTATGTAACTTGCAGCATAGAGCGCAATACTTTCTGTGTTTCTGTGAAATGGAAATTCCTGGAAAATGTGTGTTTGGGTGACAGTGTGTAATTGTTTCTGTGCAAGTGTGTGCCTGAGCAAAATATGTTTGCCACTACAAAAGATGTGTCTGTGGGTGTATGTATTGCATACATGAATGCAAGAAGGCACAGACATTTACATCGAACCCACCTCTTTCCCACTGGGACAATAAAGTATAATCTTATCTTATCTATCTTATCTTATCTTACCTCTCTGGCGATGGAGCGACCAGCGGCCAACAGTTTGATCTGCTCCTGTGCCTCTCCCAGCTCTCTCTCCAGCTGCTCTCTCAGAGCCCTCTCCCTCTCCAGGGTCTGGCTCACGGCCGCGTGTGTCTCCTGGAGAGTGGTGTGAGAGCTCTCCAGCTCCGAAAGTCTGCAGACACAGAACACGTTGTGTGTTATTTCAAGTTTTAGAAAAAGGCGATAAACACATTTCCCACACAACAAACTCTTGTGCTCATCCAGAATTCAAGTCAATTCAGATTTTGCTTTGACTTCACATCAATACTGTCAATGCAACCCAACTATCCCACCAGATCACCATCAAACTATTACAGCCGTTGAGATATACACTACATCACATGACAGCACAAAACACAACAGGATAAGACACAAACTGACAAGACACGACACAACATAACACAACTCAAGACACGACACGACACAATATGACACAGCACAACACAACACGACACAACACAACACGACACCCCCAAAAATGAAAACACTACACAACACAACACAAAATGATATGACACAACATAAATCAACGCAACGCGACACAACATGACACAACACAAGACAGCACTGACCGTGATTCTGTCTGGTCCGAGTGTGTCCTCACTTGGTCCGCCTCGGCTGCTGTCTCTTCCTCGTCCAGTTCCTTTTGCACAGAGTCCAGGGCGATGCGACGCTCCAGCTCCGCATTCTGATGACAATCATCAAAACAGATTCAACCAGCTGTTCGTTTTAATAAAGTCAGAATGGTATTTATGTTAAAAACAGTTAAGTGTGCCATCAAAGCATACATGCATATTTCTCTCTCTCTCTCTTTCTCTCTCTCCTTCCCCTCTCTTCCAGTACCCACCTTAGCCTGTAGTGTAATGTAGGCCGGTAGACGCCCGCATACTGCTGATGTATGGTCATTTACTCTTGTCTGTCTGTCTGTCCGTCCGTCCCCCTCTCTCTCTCTCTCCCAGTACCCACCTTAGCCAGCAGTGTGATGTAGGCCTGATAGACACCCACGTACTGTTGACGTATGGTCTCTCTCTCTCTCTCTTTTTCTTCCCTCCCTCCCTCTCTCTCTCTCTCTCCCTCTCTCTCTCTCCCTCCCTCTCTCTCCCTCCCTCCCTCTGTGCCCACCTTAGCCTGCACTGTGATGTAGGTCTAGTAGACCCCGGCGTACTGCTGACGTACGGCCAACCTCTCTCTCTCTCTCACCATCTCTCTCTCTCTCTCTCTCTCTCTCTCCCTCCCTCCCTCCCTCCCTCCCTCTTTGTACCCACCTTAGCCTGCAGTGTGATGTAGGCCTGGTAGACACCCGCGTACTGCTGTCGTATGGCCAATCACTCTCTCTCTCTCTCTCTCTCTCCCCCTCTCTCTCTCTCTCTCCTCCTCTCTCCCAGTACCCACCTTAGCCTGCAGTGTGATGTAGGCCTGGTACACCCCGGCGTACTGCTGTCGTATGGCCAACCACTCCTGCTCCTTCTCCCTCAGAGACTTGGACAGGTTGGACAGCTGAGTGTTCAGGTAACCTCGGTCCTCTGCCAGCTGGCTCACCTACACAACAACACACACACACACACACACACAACAGTTATTAGTTAGTTTAGTTTTAGTAGAGGTTTTACGGCGCTCACAAATGCATAAGGTCATGTGAGCGCCAGAAGATTAGAGGTGTTACAAGAGAGTAACAAACATAAAAGAAAAAAGAAGAAGGGGAGATAAGGACTGTAGATGTTTGATAGGAAAAAAGAAACAAACCACACCAAAGCACCCGCCAACCACCTACACAACAGTTATTGTTTCTACATAGACACACTCACAAACAAAAGCCCATAACAGTTATCTCGTCTGTTGTTGTTGTTTTGGAGTTTTTTTCAAGTATACAGTATTACTCATTGGACACACAATGCGGAAAGAAGCATTAGAGAATATTGTAACAACAGGCAAGTTTGATGGGAAGAGAGGCAGAGGCAGACAGGGGGGAAAAGATACTGGACAAGTTGACAACATGGCTGGGAACAGCAAAAAAGACATACACCATTGCTGCAACGCAAGACAGAGTGAAGAGGAGGTCAATGATCGCCGACGCCAGACGACAAGGCACTGGATGACGATAATACAGTTTATCACGAAAAGCTCAAATTCGTTGGGACCGGCCTCAGTAGTTTGAGGGATATCTTACAAAGATAAAGAAGAAGAAAAAAACAGGACCGCAGGCACAGTTCGACAGATGCGTGATTTCGAGTCTTCTGTGTTTGACCTATCCATGTTATACTGTATATCTCTATATTTTTTTCTAATAGTGAAGATTTTGCAATCAAGATCATTTGGGACAGGCTTGCCCATACAACTAGATAAACACACAAATATTTATCATATTTTCCTGTCTATTCTTTTTTCGGCTAAAGTTTTACAACTCAAATCACCACACACAAACAAAAACATGCACAGCAAGTATTGTCTTATCTTTGACACACACACACACACACACATACAAACACATACACACACACACACGCACACACACACACCTGCAGAGCCATCTGCTGACAACGAGACTCCCTCTGCTGCACACACACATACACACACCTGCAGAGCCAACTGCTGACAACGAGCCTCCCTCTGCTGCACACACACACACACACACACACACACATACACACCTGTAGAGCCAACTGCTGACAACGAGCCTCCCTCTGTTGTAGGCTGTGCAGGGCCTGACTGAGCTGAGCGTTGGCTGAGTTCTTCTGCTCCAGGACCTCAGACACCTGAGCTTGTACGCGGCGGTACTCCTCTTGGAACGTGGCTCCTGGCCCACCTGGCAACACAGACACATATGACACACACATGACACACATATGACACACACATGACACACACATGACAAACACATGAGGTCACTATGTTACACACATGATACTCTTTAACGGTACCGTATAGATTTTGTCAATGGGGATGTAAAAAGTAACAAGTGCAAGTACAGACAGCTTGTAACAGCTCTGTAGTGAATTCTTAAGAATGGTCTAAATAAAAAAATTAAGACAGAACTTCATAATTTATACTCAACAGATTATTTAGAGGGGTTGTTTTTTTTTGCGTTTACAAACAATCAAAATTTTTTCTTTAAAAAAAACTATAACAAAAACCCCAAAATAATTGTGACAACTCGTTCTAAATTTCTCCTGCACACACCGGTACTCCTGGAACAGGCCCTTGGCGCATCTGACAGAAACATAAAAGACATGAGGCACATGAAATCACTGTGCTACACTGTGGATGCTCATACAGCTTACAGCTCGACTTCACTAATTAACCATTTCCTTGCCAGGGGGTATGCCTTCCTACTGTCAGCACTTATTTTCAGCTGAGCTCGTTTCCCAGGACAGGAGCCTAATGTCTCAGTGTTAATGGATGCACGGTCTAGATCTAGCGCACTCATGACATATTTGGAACACCAGGTCTTCGATTGTCACTTTTCTCACTTTTCTTATTCCCCATTTCCTCCCATCTTACTCATAATTTCAAATAACCTGGAAATCTAAGTCAAAAAGTGAATTTATTTTACTTTTTAGAGTGATTTTGATGTTTACGTTTTACGAGAGCACGCGGCTGCCCGCAAGCCTATATCTGTGTATATTGATCACTTACAAGCCTAGAAGTAGAGGAATACTAGCAATTTGGTACCGATATGCGAGTCTTTTATTCCCGAATACCAATCTACGCAGGGCTTGTGGCTAAAACTCTGTACAGAAAAATTAGAGCCAGATTATTAGTGTGACATAAATCTATGTAACGTCATATAGGCAAACAGGAGTGGCAAATTTTGCCAACTTCCGCGACATACATGGTACAGCACAGCGCTAAAAATTACACAGGTTCATGATATACCAGGTACATCATACTGCAACGATGGGGTTAAAAAGTGAAGGAGGCAAAACCTCTTCCTCATTTCTACTCTACATCACACCCATGAGGTCACCATGTTTTACATACACAGTCTGCTCCAAAAGTTAAACTCTCTTTCACATTTAAATATTCTGTGAGGGTTGGTCTTACCTGAAGCCTCGGCGCGGGCCACCTGTAGCTGTGAGGTCAAGGACTCGTTGTCAAACTCAGACTGCTGGAGGGCCGCTGACACCTGGGCACGACACGCGGTAAGTAAGTTTTTTCAGTGTTTAAGGCCATTGGCCCACATCACATCATATAAAACACTCATTTGTTAAATAAAGTTTCCCTAATGAAAAAGTACAGGTTGTGCACACATCTCTTATCATGAGTCAAACATTGCATATTTCTGTCACTGGGCCGAGTCAGGCTGGGAGGAATTAACAATTTCTTATGATGGGCAAAGGGGGGAAGGGAGGGATTAGAAATGAAACTATTCATACATTCACCGGGGTATATGCCCAAAACTTCAGAGGACATTTGTCTTTGTTTCAGTAACAGAAGTATGTCAATACCAAAATGACAATTTAGTGCCAAGAAAAAAGAGAGACTGACATAATTGTAAAAAAATAAGTAGGACCTTCCAGCTGCACCCACTTGTAAAGATAAGATAAGCTCACTGAAGCAGCATACCCAATCCTGAGAGAGCTTCACAAATAAGTCCTTTTTATTACCCTACCATCCTAAGATTCTTTATTAGCAGAGGGATACTACATAGAACAGATTATATTCTGGTTTTTAAAAATATGCATGACTCTTCAGCACCATTATCAAATATCATTTCAACCAAGATATAGGAATCTCTATCTCTTCTTCTGTTTTCCCCATACTAAACTTAAGTACAACTGAGCTGTGGTTAACAGCAAGACAGGACAATATTTTTAGGTGATGTTTTAGCCTCTTTCTCTTCCCTGTCTAAGCCTCTTTCTCTTCCTCCGTTTTTCAATTCACTGTCTACCCATCTTTCTCCTTCTGTCTTTCAATTTCTCTTTCACCTCCGGTCTGTCCGTTCACTCACCCTGTCTAGCTCCTGTCGGAGTCTGGCCTTCTCCTCCATCGTTGACCCCTCTGACCCCTCCAGCTCCTCCACTCTCCTCTGTAGTGTCTCCTTCTCTCTCATCACGTGATGCTGCAGAGTGAAGACAGCAGCGAAATGATCACCAAACACGATTATACAAGGTTTGAACTTTGAGTTTGAGAAAATAAAGAGAAGCATTTTGATATAATAGTGGTCATTTGGTACATAAAAAAGATAGACGGACAGAAACAATTGTGGGGTGGGGGGAGAGAAAAAGTAAGACCTATATCATTAAGTAAAGCCCCCCCCCCCCCTCAATAAATGAATAAATAAGTAGATAAATAAATAAGTAAATAAGAAACAAGTAAATAAGTAAACAAGTAAATAAATATAAATACATGAATAAATAAATGAACCGATATTGCTGTCCCTCTCTCCATCTGTTTGATCTGTCAGTGTCAAGATCTCAGTCCTATCATTCATAATCATAGAATGTCATTGGACATTAGGCTCTGATTGGTTCATCACAGACATGACACACGACAGCGCATACAGTCACAAGAGCTTACATTACTAGGCACAAGTTTGCATTTGACCTCCAGCAACATTTGAGGCCCCTTAGGTGTAAATAGAGGCAACACTTTGTCGCCAAAGAACTATTTTCTCCAAAGCGCCTTTTTACTTAAGTAGGGACAAAATAGTTCTGAGCCGACGACCTGAGGCAACCAAACGCCTTTACTAATTTAAAGTAGGTTCCACATGCAAATATGTTCACAGAAAATATAATGTTCATAGGAAAAGGAGTAAAAACAATTCCATGGAAGCGCAAACTCAACAAAAGCTCAAACCTTCATGATAAAGACCTTGTGTGATTAGCTATTACCACATTTACAGTTCTGTGAAAGATGGAATTTACATTTCCACATAACATACTTGGGTTTCATTTTTTTCGCACTAGTCCTACTGTTGCTTTTTCATTGATCACCTACTCTGATTTCTACCACTTTCTCAAATATTTTAATTATCTCTTTCACATGCAAAGTTTGAAAATGAAGCTCTTTTATTATCAAATATGTAAAGACCCCCC